TGTGGCCTCTGGGAATCAAGAGAAGTGGGAAATGGGAGCTGGGTCGCAAGACCCCCTTCAAGAGAACACTGAAAATGACCTCTCTCCCTTCCATTAAACCTCTCCTCCTAAATACTAAAACAGGGAGTGAATCATAAACATGGAGCAAAATGGCGTGGCAAAATTCATCCTTCCATTAAACCTCACCTTGCTCCAGCTGGGGATCAGGTGCTTTGGGGAGTGTGTAAGACCTAAACAACAAAAAGTCTGAACAATAACACCTAGAAGGCTTCACAGGAACTTTAAAAACTTAATTTATAGGTCATAAAATAAAGTAGTCGCTCCATATGTGCAACGGATTGGCCTTCACTACATTTCATGCAATGCTGACTAATATTTAAAATTGACAGACATTCAGATTTTCCCATTTAATCATAGCTTCTCCCGTTGATCTAAATTAATTATGCAGCAGAAGCATAATTTAGACACAAACTGATTCAAGAATAGTTTATGTAGTAATTTTAAGATCTAACGTTTATTAAGATCTGAATTAAAAGTTAAAACTCGTCACAGCGTAAATGAACAATATGCTGCAGGTTTAATGTTTAATTCTTGCCTTTATTGCATTAAAAATGAAATTGAGTCATTATGATATCCATGTTTTATTCTATTATGGATGAAGAATAAATACGTTAAACTTCTAAACATAGGTATTTCCTTTCATAAACATACATGAGATAAAAGTAGTATTTATTCAACAGCTAAGATTTCAAATGCAATCTTATTGACCCATTTTCCTTTCTTTTAATATCAGATTCTTTTAATAATTCTACAAGGATTTTGCTACACTGAATAATACCTTTATTGAAATCAGTGCAAAGCATGGGTCTCCAACAATCTTCTTGAAGTAAAATTGTGTAAGTTTGTTATCGTTCCTCAGTAAGATGGTGGGCCCCAGTATGTTGATTCTTTTAATAGAAGTATCCTTTAAAAATAATAAAATAATTTTAAACTGTTTCTGTGGTTAGAACACTATACTTCTATAGCAAAGTCACAAAATGCAGGGCTCACAGAGTCTTCGGAGTATTTCTCTCTTACTTAAGTGTCTTTCCGTATGGGTTCCATTATGAGTGAGGATTTATTGAGCTCATTGTTCTGAATCACTACCATCCCCTAAGACAGGGATTTTAAATTTTTATGGGACAGAGCTCTCTGTGACAGCCTAGTAAGACTTATGGACCCTTCTTTCAACTACCTTTTAAATATGGAGATGCATAAGACTACCAAAGATACCACTTATATTGAGGCATATTCACTTACACACATATAAAGCAAATATGAGAACTACCACTATATAGACTAAAATAGAATGATCTAGTAGCTATCTGGATTTTATACTACTGAGAAACATCATGATATTCTGAAGTGTCTTCAACATCTGAAATGTGATACAGAAAGAGAAACACTCTACTGAAGTACAAATATTCTTAAAACTTAATTAATAAATTAATACTCTTTATACTGTGGTTACTCCATTTCCACACTTAAGAAGATGTGCGTGTGTATTCACACATCCAATTGACCACAATGTTTGTTTGTTTCTTTCTTTCTCTCTCTCTCTCTTCCTTCCTTCTTTCCTTCCTTCCTTCCTTCCTTCCTTCCTTCCTTCCTTCCTTCCTTCCTTCCTTCCTTCCTTCCTTTGTTTCTTCCTTTCTTTCTTTTTAAAGACAGGGTTTCTCTTTGTAGTCCTGGCTGTCCTGAAACACCCTCTGTAGACCATGCTGGCCTCCAACTCAGAGATCCACCTGCCTCTGCTGCCTGAGTGCTGGGCACCACCATCTGACCACAGATATTTTTTAATTAAATCTTTTTATTTAATTTTATCTTACATGCATTAGTGTGAGGGTGTCAGATCCCTTGGAATCTGTGTTACAGGCAGTTGTGAGCTGCCATGTGGGTGCTGGGAATTGAACCCAGGTTCTTTGGAAAAGCAGACAGTGTGCTCTTAACCACTGAGCCATCTTTTCAGCCCCAACCACAGATAATTTGATTAGCCTTTTTTATTGTGTGTGTGTGTGTGTGTGTGGTGTGTGCATAGGCACACATGTACACACATGAGTTTATGCATACCACATGAGTACAGGTGCCCACAGAATCTAAAGCACATTGGATTTTCTGAAGTTACAGACGACTTTGACCCCATACTTAGAACCAAGCCCAGGTCTTCTGCAAGAGCTACAAATGCCTTAAACCGTTGAGCCATTTATCCAGTTCACCCTCTGAACACCCAAACATTCCCACACCCCTGCCACATACAGCAAAACCATTAAAAACAACATTACATCCTTGACCCTTAAAAACTTACATTCATCTGATAATACAGAATGCTTTTAGTCTTTCTCTAGGAATCCACTAAGTCTTAATAACTTTAAAATTGTTCAAAAAAGTCTTTTTCTTTCTTTCTTTATTTTTTTAAAGGAACTTTTTCAAAAAAAGATTTATTTATTGTCTTCCTCTGTGGTCTGATAAGCCCCGCCCCCCAGGGGGAGGTGATCAAAGAGCCAGCCACTGAGTTTATGTCAGAGACAGCCCCTGTTCCCCTTACTAGGGAACCCACTTGGATACTGAACTACCATGAGCTACCTCTGTGCAAGTGTTCTAGGTTATTTCCATGCATGGTCCTTGGTTGGAGTATCAGTCTCAGAAAAGACCCCTGTGCCCAGATTTTTTGGTTCTGTTGCTCTCCTTGTGGAGCTCCTGTCCTCTCCAGGTCTTACTCTCTCCCCCTTCTTTCATATGATTCCCTGCACTCTGCCCAAAGTTTGGCTATGAGTCTTGGCATCTGCTTTGATACACTGCTGGGTAGAGTCTTTCAGAGGCCCTCTGTGGGTAGGCTCCTGTCTTGTTTTTCCACCCTCTTTCAATGTCTATCCCATTTGCCTTCACACAGAATTTCTTATTCTGGAATTGTCAGGATTGTGGGGTTTCCAGTGCAATTTAGGGATTACCTTCCCAGCTTTGTCCAGAACCCTGTCATCTGCTCCTTGCTGGGAATGGGTCTATGGTACATGTTACCTGGCCTCAGCAGCTTCCTGGAATCTGCATGCAAACCTCCAGAGCTCCACTGGATGCTTGCATTTTGATACCTACAAAATCAGTTGTCAAAAAGGATTATGTCAAGTTTTGCTGTCAGCTCGAGGTATAGCCTGTTCCCTTTAAACCACAGTTGAGGTGGCCTCTGGTTGTATTTGTCGATGAACCTGGAAAAACTACACTCCAAGATAGTCTTTTTACAATAACAAAAAAAATCACTTTTTAAAAATTACAGTTTCTTTGTGTGTGTGTGTGTATATGTGTGTGTGTGTGTGTGTGTGTGTGTGTATGCATGCACAGACATGCATGTGCCTGCATCATCACAGCACACACATGAGAGTCAGAAGACAACTACAGGAGTCAGTTCTCTTTCCACCATGTAGTCTCCAGGAACTGAGACCATGTGCATGCTCTCTCTTACGTATTTATCTCCCTCCCCATTTCCCCCAGGTCCTCTTCAGACCTCTCTACCCTGTTATCCACCTTTTAGCTATTTTGAAAAACAGAATCATGTTGACGACTGAAATTAACCATCACAATGCACCACATGATTGTTTGGTCTGACACAGTTGAGACTCTTCATTCTGCATGAAGCCTTACTTCTTAGGCTAGATCCAGCAGAATCATGAACCGTAACTGCATATCTAGCATAAAAATTTAAAGCAAACTTTGAAGTTTAAAGTGTGTATCTATTTTCTAAATATTAAGTCTGAAGTTCCAATTTTCAGAATATATTGAATATTATGTAATTATGTACAACACACACACACATACCTATTTATATGTGTACCTACATTCCTTGTATCATGTTTGCATACAAAAATGCAGCTGTATGAAATTAGAATTTGAATTAAGTATAAATTGCAGATTATTTTCTTCTGGTACACAGAAAAGGATATACTTTCAAATGTTTCGGTCTGAGTCAGCATAGTTCAAAACATCACCATGAAAACAAGGCCACCAGACAGGCTGTTTGTCAACTCCATTGAGCCTTGTCCTGCCTTCCTAGGCCCCAAATAGAGATGTCAGTTTGTAACTACAGTACCTAGCTTCCTCCAGAAGTTTCAAATCTCTCTCAATCCACTGGAGGCCTCATCTTTTGTCCATGTGTCTATAGAACCAGCCTAGCTTGCAGGGAATAGTCCACCCCTAAATAAAAAAAAAATGCAAGCAGATTGCAGCCTTCCATACTTTAGGCACCAAGGAATGAAAACAATGTGTGTAATTCAAATAGAACAAATCCCAGCGCCCCGAGAGGAAACGTGTGTTTATTTTTAGGCTTTCAGCACCAGATCCAGGCTTCAGCAGTAGCAGCTTGAACACCCTGGGTTGTGCGTATGTCGCCTGTCACAGGGCCAGTTTAAGGTAACAGGTTCACATCTCCCTTCGGGGCTGAGAGCTGAGCACAGAGACGTTCACCTTACAGCACTGCATTCAGGAGGCCAGAGCAGGTAGGTCTCCGTGAGTTTGAGGACAGCCTGGATTACATGGTAAGTTCCAGGCCAGCCAAAACTACATAGTAAGACCCTGTGTAATAGCAAATAACCCGAAAGAACTCCCGCGCTCTGATATGCATTCCAGGTTACGTGTGTGTTTGACTCACCCAACAGGCTAGCATAAGCAAATATATTAAAACTTTGTATCTATTGAAAGGAGATAGATTTCTAATACTTTATTGTTTTTTGCTTGTTTTGTTTGCTTTTATTTGAACAGGGGAGAAAATTAATTAAGGAATGAGTTGTTCTGTGAGTTTGTGCCTACTGCTTTTTTGTATGTGTCAAGGATACTTGGCCTATCTAGTAACTGCAATAGCCTGTAATTATGGTTATAATGCATTTTTTGTTGTTGTTGTTGCTCTTTTCTTTGTTGTATTTTGTATATAGCTACTTTAAATTGTGTTATTAACTTTTCACCTTGTTTTGATACAGGGTCTCTGACTGAACTTGGAGCCCACTGAGTTGGCTTCCCAGGCAGGAATGTTCCCAACGTTGCCTCCCAGTGAGGGGATCACATGTATGTCACAGCTGACACACATGCTTTTGAGGTGTGTGCCGGAACTCTTGTATTCGTGCTTGTGTGGCCAACAGCTTACTGGCTGAGTCTTCCCCAGCCCCCTTATCTTGCTATTCGTGTTGTTTCCACATCCCAGTGAACATCACAGAAGCAGCCTCCACCATCCTTATTGAATTCAACTGCCATTTATGATGATCATATTTTAACTACTTAATTGTTTTATTCAGTAGTTTAAAAGCATATTTGTTCCCTTTAAAATTCTGCTCACTTTCCTTTCAGGCTGACAGTGAAATTGCATCAAGGGGTGGAATCTTAGCGGAAAGCATCTCCAGCAATTGACAATTGGTGAGCTTACTCCTCCCCACTTTTCATTTGCAAGGGAAAGTAATAAAATCCTGTCATTACTGTCAAAGCCCTCTAGCTGTCTTTCTGCACATACAGATCCTAGCCTCTCAATATTCCATCAAGCAGGTGATCCATGCTGCAATGTGATATTTATGAATTCTTTGTATCTATTGATAAAACGTAAACAAGTAAATCTGATGTTTTTTTCTACGGCGAATAGGCTCTATTGCTAAGGAAAAGTAACACACACACACACACACACACACCAAAGATAGAAAAAGCTTGCTACCCACCACCTTGGTTGTCAATAGAAAGGGTTGCCAGCTCTCTTCTCCCTGGGTAGGATGGCCCACTGATACTGCTTGTGGGGTTTAAGGGAGAGAGTCACTTGTCCATTCTCAGCAGAAGCAAATCTCATGTCCATTTGCAAAGTCAGGGAGGAAACAGCACGTGCTGTGATTTTAGGCAAATGGGTCCTTTGTGAATTAAAAGCTCAGTCTCCAACCTGGCACAACCTGGACACAGAGGGACTTCAAGTAGGTGCAAGCCAGGTGTGGTGGCGCACACCTTAAATCCTAGCGCCTGGGAGGCAGAGACAGGTGGGTCCCTGTGCGTTTGCAGCGAGCCTGGTCTACATTGTGAGTTACAGGGGAAGAGCATAGTAAACGGCCACCCCTGAGAACATTAGCAAACAAATAACATTATACCAACTGAACAGGTTGTATTTCTGTATTTAGGAATACACACACACACCCCAATTAAGAAAGAGGGTCCATAAATTTAAAAGACAGCAAGGAGGACGTAGTGGTTCTCAACCTTCCTAATGCAATGACCTTTAAATACAGTTCCTCATGTTGTGGTGAACCCCAATCATGAAATTATTTTTGTTGTCATTTCATAACTGTAATTTTGCTACTGGTATGAATTATAGTGTAACTATTTTTGGAGATAGAAAGTTTGCCAAAGGTTGAGAACCACTGGCCTACAGGGAGGATAAGGATTAAAGAAAAAAACCTGCTGTTATAATCTTAATTAAAAAAACAAACAAACCTTTTTTTTTTTTTTTTTTTTTTTTTTTTAAGGAAGAAAACAGTTATCATATCTATTTCTGGAGCAGAATTGACTCACATTTGCTCCGAATGGGATCTGCTCAGGCTCATCCTCTTTGGCTTTCTTATGTAAGTCCTCCTCCCAGAAGTTCCTGAAGGTGGCACTTGTATATTGATGCTCTTGCTAGTGTCCCCCCCCACCCCACCCATTCCCACACACCAAGGGCTGCACCCTGTCTGTCTACAGCCTTGCTGAAAGCCCTCTGCCACACCCTGTGGTGCGGGCCCCTTTGGTGCTCTCTACACCATAGCCAATCTGTGTTCCAGGGAGAAATGGAGCACCTGTCTCTGGTGCTCAGAGACCAGGATCGACACACTTGCCTGAGCCTTAAGAGTCTTCAGGTTCTTCCCAGCATCCTCTGTTCTGCTGTAGACTGCATATCGTATTCCCTTGAACACTTAACGAAACTTTAATCCTTAAAGTCTATGTTAATGGTATTTTAAAAAGTGGAAACTTAATACAAATAGGGTCCATATTGAGCACGTTGATAGTTTGTGTCTGTGTGTGTGGCACGCGCTCATGTGTGTATGTAGGAGAAGGTGTGGTCCTGCCTCCACACGAATTCGGATGTTAAGAATACAAGCCTCAGGTGTTGATCTTTACCTTTTTTACCTTGTTTTAGAGACAGGGTCTCCTCTTTGTTGCATTAGCCAGGCTAGCTAGGCCATGGGCTTCTGGGGGTTCTCCTGTCTCTGCCCACATCACCCACAGAGACATGCTAGAATGGCAGGTGTTATGTTATTGCACCTGGCTTTTTCTGTGGGTTCTGGGAACCTAACTTGGTTTGTCAGGCTTGCATGGCTAGCACTTTTACCCTCTGAGCCTTCTCCCAAGCTCCCGTGAGAGTTTTGTAAGAGTGCTTAGATTGGATGAGGTCACTAGAGTGGAGCCACTATAATTGATTTCAAGTGGCTTTCTAGGGAGAGGGAAGAGAGACTGCACACACAAGATACGCCCTGCTCTCACCATAATGCAATGCAGCCAAGGTGGGCAAATGGATGGTCAGAGCCTGCTATACACTATTTGGACTTTCATGAGCCTCAACTATTTTGTTGTAGTAATCACCTCCTGCCCACACCATCACACACACAAAAAGAACAAAAAGAAAAGAAGGAGGGAAGGAAGGAAGGAAGGAAGGAAGAAAGAAAGAAAGAAAGAAAGAAAGAAAGAAAGAAAGAAAGAAAGAAAGGAAAAAAGGAAGGAAGGCAAGCAGATTAACATAGACTCCAAGCTATTTAGACACATGGGCTTAAAACTAGTCCAAGAACTGGGAGGGGGAACTCACTGGGTCCGCCTCTCCATTGTTTTATCATCTTCTCTAGAGTTCTGTACAGAAAGCAGCTCCGCTATGCAGTACTTTAGCTAAAATCAAAAGGCAAAAAAGGCAGCTTCTTCAGAGAGGAATCCAGAGGGTGGATGGATGCCGTTAGGTTCCCATGCCAAAACCTTGCTCACAGACAGCCAAGATGAGCTGTTCATGATAAAGAAACCTGGTATTTTTCCAGGGGAACTTTGGTTTGCAATAAATGCTGACAGCTTATTTTCTGTCTCTTCTACAAATAACTTGTTGATCCAGTTATTTTTATTTATTAATATGCCCCCCTGGGAAACCCAGAGCATTTGTGAGAAGATGAATCCCACCCCCACCCTTGTCCTCATCTCCACACTAGTCCCCACTCCCCAGCAGTCGACTTCCAGGACTGTGGGTGTAGAGGAGTGGATTGGGGAGGGCTGGGTTCTCTGTAAGCTGAGCAACTGGATGAGAGATAATTTCCAGTGCAGGCTTTGAGAAAGTCTTCTCGTGGGTGGAATCAAGGCCCCGCACAGATCCGTTCAAGACCTAACTCATTACAGATGAATGTGATCTTTTGAGAAATGGGAATGTCTCTTTGCAAATGAGGTCATACTGCTCAGGGTGGGCCCTAAGTCCCACATCTGTTGTCTTTGGAAGAGAAAGGGAAGGGAAATTTGACACAGAAACACACATGAACACAGAGTAAATTCATATAATGGCAAGCAGGGAACGGTGATGCAACTCCAAGCTGAAGTACACTGAGGGCTCCCAGCAGCCTCCAGAGGCTCAGGCCTGGAATGGACTCACCCCAGGAGCCTTAGGCACCCCAATTTTAGACTCCATTTTTGTTTTATGTTCTTTTACTTTGTCACTGATATTGAAGTGGCATTTGACTACATTACCTACAATGGCTGAGAATTCTTGAGCTCAAATGACCTGACTACTTCAGCCTCTGAGGAGCTGAGACTGCAGGTCCTCAGCACCATTGCTGGCATGTTTCTAATTTTCTACACCATTCCATTTGTTGTAGTTGCCATAGCAACCCTGGAAAATGAATCAAAATCCATGGGAGGAACTGGACCTTGGTGCATAGGTCTATAACCCCTGCTATGGGAGGCTGAGGCTGGAGGATTATAAATTCAGTGCCTGCCTGGTCTCCAGAGTGCATTCAAGGCCAACCCCAGCAACTTCGTAGATGTGCTGGATAGTTTTATGTCAAATGGACACAAACTAAAGTCCTCTGAGAGGAGAGAGCCTCCATTAAGAAAAAGCCTCCATAAGATCAGGTTGTATGCAAGTCTGTAAGGCATTTCTTAATTAGAGATGATTGTGCAAGGGCGCCCATTGTGGGCGGGGCCATCCTTGGGCTGGTGGTCCTGGGTTCTATCAGAGAGCAGGCTGAGCAAGCCATGGGTAGCAAGTCAATAAAGAGAACCCCTCTGTGGCCTCTGCATCAGTTCCTGACTTGAGGTTCCTTCCCTGGTTGAGTTCCTGTCCTGACTTCCTTCAGTGATGGACTATAATCACTGGACGTACAAGCCAAATAAACCTTTTCCTCAGCTTGTTTTCGGTCATGGTGTTTCATCACAGCAACAGTAACCCTAGCTAAGATAGTACATAGCTCAGTAGTAGAATGTGTGTCTAGTACATGCAATGACCTGAGTTCAGTTGATCCCCAGTGGTGCAAAATAAGTAATTGATTAATTAAAAACAAGTTGTTTAAATGTGAAAATGTTTTCTTAAGACAAGGCCAGGAGAACTTTCTTTGAGTTTGGTGAGGATCAATGCTTCTTTTTTCTTGGGCCACTACAGTGTTTGGACTAGACACTGTCCCCCAACCACAAGATAGTGCAGAATAATTCATGCACATGTATCTTGCTTCTTTTGTTTTAAAACCCTGATATGTTATTCAATACCATTATACTGATTTATGTTTTTATGTTGTTGTTAGCTCTTTCATTATTGTTGTTGTTGTTATTTTTGACCAAGGAAAAATTAATTAGAAAAAGAATAAAACAAAAGACTCTAATAACTGGATAAAACTGTCTTTCTTTTCTCCAGGGACAGGAGCTGAAATATGATTAGCCCAGATTATTAGCTCTGAAAGAGGCTAGATTAAACCTTGAGCTAAACTGACCTTCTCATTTCAGAGGTCAGAGTTCAGTCTTCTCATCTCAGGCTCGAAAAATAGAAGCCTAAGGTCAGATGACTGAGTCCGACCAGATGCCCCCATCTGTGCCCCTGGCCCCTCAGACACTTGGCCCACTATGTGCCAGCTGCTGGATTGGGAGCAGCACTCATTGGAATTTCACAAAGAATGTAAAGCAAAAGCATTTGCTATTATCAATAATACATACTTCATTATTTGATAATGAGTCAAGAAGCCACCTCCTTACATTCTGGTTGTCAGATTCCCAAAGGAAAAGCCTTTGAGGGAGGGGATACGGGGCATGGAGCAAAGGTCCTATGCTTTTGAGTCCACACTCTGCCACAGAGCTGTACTTTCAATTCCCTCAAAACAACCTCTCGAGTTGTCCTGCCTTTTGTTAATTACTATGTTAAACAATATTAGCA